TAAAATAAAATAAAATAAAATAAAATAAAATAAAATAAAATAAAATAGCCTGTTCCAAGTTAAAACTTTTGCTTGGAAAACTCCTCTACCAATTTCCCTTCTTGAGAAGCAAGGCAGTTCAGAAATACAGTAATACTATTCTTATGAATTTAGTTGGTTATTTTGCCTAAAGTATTTTGCCCTTTTTAGAAAATTTAACAGTCAAAACTTGTTTTAAAAACAAAGTTTCCCCTTCAAAAAATAGTTTATCTTCAAAGACAGAATCCTCTTTCAATTAATTTGACCCAAAGCCCTTCCCCCATTCATCCTTAAAGAACAGCTGGCCTTTTTGATTTGCCCTAAGAGCATTAGTTCAAAGAAATCTAGACATTTCAGAAAACCCAATTTTTCTTAAAGCTTGACCACAAAATACTAATCTTCAGCCAAGCATCTAAAGAGAAACACAGTGGGTTTCTTTATGTTCATGTACCAGGTTTCAGCGTTACATCAGAAAAAAATGACAGTAAATTGTGCAACACGAGATGAGTAGTATTCATTTGGGATTTGGGAAATCTATAAAAGAGTGAAATACACACTTGTAGAACAAGTAGAAAGAATGAAAATCAACCTCAGTTTAAATAAAACATGTATTGAAACCAATGACTACCCCAACATACAACAGAAGGCCGTTTTTTCCCCTGCTGTGTTGAAATTGCATGATGAGAGACTATCTCTTCTAGTTCTTTCTCTTGATGTACACTCCTTGCTGAGCTCAATTACAGCAGGTTTGAAGGAGCTGGAAGTGAGCATAAATGGAAAGAAATGATGCTTTAGCCCAAAGATTAGATAGCAGAGAAGCCAGAGATGTAGGAAACCATCCATCTCAGAGACACATGATCTACACAGACTGAAATTCAAAGCCCAGCTGAGAAGAATGTGGGATTGTATCTGTCTGAAAGACCATCTGCTGGGACAGCACCACTGACAACAGCATACTGGCAGGTATAAACTTTGAAATAATTCATGTTACACACAAACCAAGAGCAAAATCCTGTCAGAAAATCAACTTGTGTAGCACCAGCAGATGCGTTCCACTTTCAGACGCCATGCCTTATAAACATGTAGAAAAGAATGACTGCTATAGTCTTGATAGCATTTTTAAGGAAAATCTGAAAGTTTTAAAAAGGAAGTTGTAAAACTGTGGCTCCGGGCAGCCTGGTCTAGTGGTTGGTGATCCTGCACGTAGCAGGGGGGTTGAAAGTAGGCCATCATTGGGTCCTTGTCAACCCAGGCCATTCTATGATTCTATGAGTCTATGAAATAAAATGGAAGGTCTTGCCACTGGCCAAAAGGAGAGGGTGGAAAGTATATTTAGTTCTTGCATTCATGGTGGGTGTGGATATGGGACAGAGGCTGACAAACTCAGAAGTGGTATGGACTGAGGGAGCTCTGCTGTTCAATGTCTTTTCCAGAACAGGCACAGACGGCCATAAAGTGGATCTTGTGAAGCCAGAGTCCAAACAAGCAGACCCTCTTCATACACACTAAACAGATCTGAGGAACTTGTCAAAAGATATTATTACTTATGTAAGAGATTATCTGAGTTCAAGACACTCAAAAACCTCTTGTAAGAGTGGAATATTTCTTAGAAGAAAACTCAGTGTCTCATGAAATTCTCACAGCTGAAAACATGGAGCAATGATCTGAACCAGCTTGCTTATTGTTAATATTTAGAAGTCTCCCAAATGAGAGTTAATCAATAGATTAATTTTTGTTGTCATACCCACCAGCCGCAGTCCCTTCAGATTAATTCTTGAGTCATGATAGAAAGATGGCAGCAAATGCAGTATTTGGGATGCAGTGCAAATATAACCATCACTAATGGATACTAGTTCCATGATTTTACCACTTACACCTGTATGTAGCATGCATCTCATGTTTACAGTGCAGAATCAATGCAGAAATGTTAGCATTTTTTTCTGAAGATCTGAGAAGATAAACCTTTAGCAGTGCAAAGAAAAAAGAACATAACATATTTGAGACTTTGAAAGCATCGAATAGACAAACCCTTCTCATAATTGCGTTCTGCAGTTGCTGGTTTCAGCTGAGTTATCATGATGGAATGATAAATTAATCTAACAACAAAATAAATCTAAAAAATCCAGATATTAAGGTTCATAAGTTCTAGAGCCTAAGCATTAGAAGTGTCATTCTTCATTTGATATCATTAGTCAGTAGCTCACTGTGACTGGGCCCTATCCAGTTTGCATTTTTAGAGCAATATTCTGTCTAGAATCAGGTCACTGTCATAAATAAGAGCTGTTTGTGATCAGTCTGCCATGGATTATACTGTCGACCAGACTACTCAGGTCCCTTATGCACACATTCTCATAAACTACAGGTCATGCGGCATTTAAATTTACAGCAGCAACCATGGATATCCCTGAAGTCACAACAAGGGATAGAGTACTGCCAGAACAATACTCCATCCCCATTTTCACCCTTTCTTGCTCAGCTTAGATCACCTGATCCCAAACAAATGGCTACATTAGGATAGTATGCTGGGGTATATGCCTATAGCAAACAGCTTCTCTAAAGTAGGCATAGGTCATTTTCTTCTACTACAAATTCAAAATCAAATGTCAGACATCTTGTGTCCCTTGCTGAATTTAAAGGCATGTTTTGTCACTGGTTCACTCGATAATGCCAACTAGTTCTCTGGGCGCCTTTCCACAGTCATGCAAGTGATTACACTGAAGTCAACAGAAACTTTGGAAGCACTTCAGTGAGTTACTTAGCTGAGTAAGGATTTGTATGATCATCCTCTGCTGAACTTGGCTCTAACCAAAGCCCCATTCCAGTACATACATGAACAGCTCAAAATTAAAAAAAAATCCAGAAATCTCTTCTCACCATGTCAGAGTACATGGTGCAGCATATTTTAGAAGCATATTTTAGAAGTCCTGTTCAGTGTTGGTAGCAGATTGAAAACAATCGAAATACACTGCATTCATTGACTGAAACACTGCACAGCCAGATTTGCTTTACCTAAACCTCCCTGCAGACCCAACTGTGGGTGTACACCCACACTCACAGCTCTGCTACCAAGCCACCGAAAGGTCTGAAGTGAAAGGTCAGCAGACATGCAGAACCGAAAGAGAGCTGTGAACTCTCCCTTAGTACGAAAATGCTGGAGTAATGAAATGTTGCAAATAACTGTGGTTTGGCAAGAGAGCTCCAAGAGCACGCTGTGATATTCGCAAGCCAGAATGCGAAGTGCTTAACTGCAGATCAGAATTAAAGACTGACAAGCCCTCAGCAAGGCGCTTTCTCAGCCACATATCCTGTCAGTGCCCTGAGCAACCTTTTTATTTTGCTGACAAAGTAATCAGCGGTGAACCCAGGCCTGGTTAGTAACTGAAACTTAGCGGTACTACTGTACTACTCCGCTTCACAGTTTGACATTTTCCTATGCTTTGAGTTGTGCACTGAAAAAAAAAAAAAAAAAAAAAGCTACAAGGACCTTTATCCAGATCTCTGCCCTGTTCTCAGTGGCAGAAATTCCAGTAAGTCCCAGGATTACTCCACATCTCCACATAACTTCCAGTGCACTAGGGAAATAAACTGAGCAACCCCCAAGGAGGGAGCAAGCAATGGATGCTGCCTGGCTGTGTTTTGCTGATCTCAGCCCGAGGGCATTTTGGACAGCACCTGCAGCTGAGGATGCGCTGCCTGATTTTCAGAAGCGAAGCTCTCTCAAACCATTTGCTCACCCCTAAGCTTGCATTACTGTCCAACCCTGATCAGTGCTCTCTACCCAAGGACTCGTCCATAACACTAACGCGGCTTAGTTTGCCTGTGCTCGTGCAGGGTCACAGCTGGGTGCACGGGCCCCTGCCCACTTCTAGGGGAGAGCTCCCTGAACGCCTGCAGTGCATTTTCCAGATCCGCTCGTCCTCATCCACGGCAGACAAACGCTTTGTTACACACCCGCATACGACAGGAAGGCACCCCCCGCAGCCCCTCGGCCGCCGGGCCGCGCTTCCGACCCGAGTCCCTCCTCCGGCAGGGAGGGGCGCGGGGCCGGCGGTCGGGCCGAGAGGCCGCGGACTGCGGCGAGGCGGGCCGAGCGGCCGCGGGGGGGAACCGACGGAGCTCCGAAGGCCCGCGACCCACAGTCCCACCGCGACGCCTCCGGGGCCGAGCGGTGGCCGACGAGCGGCGCGGAGCGGCCGGGTCGCCGGAGGTGCCGCCCCGCTCGGCGCAGCCAATGGCGTGTCGCGGGCCGGGCCGCGTTGTGCAACGCGCCGGGCCGGGAAGGAAACCGTCACCCCGGGGGAAGCAGCGCTCACTCGGCATCTGTCGCGGCGGGAGCCCGGCCCGGCAGTCCGGCGAGGAGCCCGCGGGGCCGGCCTTCCTGCCGGGCATGAGCCGCCGCCGCTAGGAGCGGCGCTGGGCGGGCGCGATGACCCACATGCTGCGCGCGGCGGCCCGCCGGCTGCAATGGAGCCGCTCCAGCGCCGCGAAGCGCGCTGCCTGCCTGCTGGCCGCGGCGTACGGGCTGAAGGTGCTCTACCCCGTCCTCCGGCGGCGGCTGAGGCGGGCGGGCAGCCGCGCTGAGCCGGGCCGGGGGGCGGCGCAGGGCGGCGGCGGCCGGGGCAGAACCTCGCCGGCGGTCAACGCGGAGTTCTTGAAACAGCTGCTGGAGCTGCGCAGGCTGTTCTTCCCTAAGCTGGTCAGCGCCGAGCTCGGCTTGTTGTGCCTCCACTCCATCGCGCTGGTTTCCAGGACCTTCCTCTCCATTTATGTGGCGGCCCTCGACGGGAAGATCGTGAAGAGCATCGTGGAAAAAGAGCCCCGGAGCTTTGTCGTCAAGTTGGTCAAATGGCTGATGATCGCCATCCCGGCCACTTTCGTCAACAGCACCATCCGGTACCTGGAGTGCAAGCTGGCCCTCGCCTTCCGCACGCGCCTGGTGAATCATGCCTACGAGATCTACTTCGCCAACCAGACCTACTACCGAGTGATCAGCATGGATGGGCGGCTGGCCAACCCCGACCAGTCCCTCACCGAGGACATCATGATGTTCTCGCAGTCGGTGGCTCACCTCTACTCCAACCTCACCAAGCCCATCCTGGATGTCATGCTCACCTCCTACACCCTGATCCGCACAGCACGCTCCCGGGGTGCCAATCCCATCGGGCCCACGCTGCTGGCCGGCCTTGTTGTCTACGCCACGGCCCGCGTGCTCAAAGCCTGCTCGCCCAAGTTTGGCAAGCTGGTGGCCGAGGAGGCGCACAAGAAGGGCTACCTGCGCTTCATGCACTCGCGCATCATTGCCAACGTGGAAGAGATCGCCTTTTACCGGGGGCACAAGGTAAGGAGGGAAATCTGAGTGTTCTGGGCTTGCTTCCTCAGCACTGGAGCTGACCGGTGCTTCCCCTGCCACCCTGTGCACACACTGTGGTCCCTCTCACATTTAAACCTGTTTACAGCTTGCACTTCCCGTTTCCTAGGAAAATGCAATCTCACAGGCAGTGTCTGGGGGGAGCAGAGTGCAGTTCCCTTGTGCTCTGACAGTGTTCCTGTTTTGCAGCTGTACCCTGTGCTTTTCTAGAAAGCCGATCGTCACTATTGTTTTTTCCCCACCCAGTGCACTCCTCTTAACTCTTCCAGGCTTTTCTTTTCCCTTCCTTGTTTGTGAGCTCCCAGCTTTAGTGCTTCAGGAATCACTAGCAAGCCACAGCAGAAAGTCTAGGGGACGTCTTCGTGATAGCACAGAGACCAAAACAACCTTTGACACTCTTTTACATAGCTAAGCAAAGATGCAGTCATCAGAGCCTTAAAATAGCTTAAGTACAGTACTTCAGCAGCCATAGTTACATAAACTAATGGGTTGTTCTAAAGCCACCTTATGAAGGAATTCTTAGTATTTTTATTAGAAGTGAATTTTGGCTGTTACAGCTTTCAAGCATGACTTGGAAAAACAAGTGGTTTCACATGAGGTGAAAATGAAGACCGGTAACTAGCCTGAGGTGTTGCCAACTCTTTCAGTCCAAGCAACAATTATATAATGCAGATGGTTTGTTTTGGTAGAAGCGATCGTTCTCCAGGGCTGCCTACCATAGTGTTTGCAGTACAGCTAAATTAAACAGTTTCTTCTGTTCCCACATCTTCTGGCTTGAACTGAGTGCATGATGTCATACTGACTTGGAACTATCTTTGACTTGTTAAACCTCTTGGGATAATTCTCTCTTCCTCTAGGCCGTTCACAAAAACAAGAAGCATTGCGTTTCAGCAAAGAGCTCTGCAGATTTAAGTCAGAGATAATTGATCCCCAAACACTTTACAATTTGAGGAGTTTCGGTTGCTGTGAAACTCTTCAGCTGCATGTTCCATAAAGGATGTAGAATCAATCTTGTTTTGATTGCTAGAGTCAGCTATAGTGACAAGTCATATGTTCTTATATATATCAGATGCTAAAAGAACTGAAAGCTTCCCAATGTGGCATAAAGGGACAGTGACATAAGTAAGAGCCAGGTCCTCTGGCTTCAATAAAGCTGTGCACTTCTGCTGCTAGAATATGAGAATACAGCACTGTGACTATGGATTACTGCATGCTTAGGGACCACAGCTCTGGATACTTGATTAGTTCATGCACATGTGTGAATGTATCTTGGATGGCATGTATATTTTTGCTGTATTGCATAAATGTGTTTATTTAAACTGTAGGTGGAAATGAAACAACTGCAAAAAAGCTACAAGGCTTTGGCAGATCAAATGAATCTCATTTTATCCAAACGCTTATGGTACATCATGATAGAGCAGTTCCTGATGAAGTACGTCTGGAGTAGCTGTGGCATGGTCATGGTCGCTGTGCCCATCATCACCGCAACAGGATTTGCAGATGGCGGTAATACCATTTTTATGTATTTCCAAATGGCTCTGTAAAGTTACATCCTCAAAAGACTGCTTTCCTTCAGTGTTGTTCACATTTCTTTATTGTTCACAGCCTTTTTTTTTTTTCTTTTTACCACATCCGTGTCTCATGTGTAACTCAGGCATAGCAAGTCAGTTGGGGGAGGAGCAATGCAAAAGATACAGCTTAGAGCATAAAGCTGACAAAGAGTTATCATTTGGGACTTAAGGGGTACTCCCATGAGATTATAACGACAGTTGCAGTTCTCATTCACTGGCTGTCATTGGGATGCCATGCTGGTTCTTGCAGCAACTCCTACTATTTTAAAATACGATACTTCTTGCTGGCTTTCCTAGAGAGCTTATCTCCTTGTTCTGTAAACCACAGTGTAACTATAGCTAGTTATTGTATTACATGTTGGCTGTTAGGAACTGCTGTTTTTCCCTGACTCACTGGGAGAAGAGCAATGAAGGCTTTCGTGTCATCATTTTTTGACATTCTGTTGACATAACTTCTCCAAGAAGTGAATTGAGACTGTTGTTATTGTAAATGCTATAAAAAAAAAGAGAGCAGAAAGGAAGGTAGTTAGGGAGGGGAGATGAAGACAAGTCAGAGTTTGCCTCAACAGGTTGCCTTATGCACAGGTGGAATCGCAGAAAACGTTACAAACTCCCTAGGATTCATTAAGCATGGATACTACAACATAAGCAGGAGGATGAGTTTTGAATTTGGTACATTTAAATAGGAATAAAGGTGTTGTTTTCAGTGCAGGTTTTGATAAGGACGTTTCAGATCAGGGCTGTTCAGCTCAACTGACAAGCTCGGTTCGACCTGCCCACACATTATTTAGTAGTCTCACAATTGTGCTTGTGCGCGGCTGGGTGTTCAGCTGCCTGAGCTGCTGCCTGTCACATGGCTCAGGGGGCACCATATCAGCACCCTCGCTGGCATCCTGCTAACAGCTTCAGAAATATCAGAAGGTCCTGTTCCAAACAGAAGAGTTTGTAAAAACTCTTTCACCTCATGCAACTAGTGAAGGTTGTGCAAGCGGAAGCAGAAGTGCTGAGTGAGAATCACCATCGGTGTGAGAGTGCCATCATCAGTGTAACAGTCTATCTGCAGGATGAGAACGAGTGCAGTCAGAGAAAAGTCATTTGATTGCACATTGTATGTATCTCCCTGGTATTACGGCATGAATAAAAAATGAAAAAGACTGTCCTTTGTGAGGATTAAGCCACAGTGAAAGTATATAGAACAAATGATGGATAATTGATTTGTGTGCATGCTCAACCAAATAGCATTCTTGTTACTCATGAGTACATTTTTGGTAAATATTTTTGAAATGTAGAAAAAGAAGATACAGAGATAATTCATGTTGTAAAGCAAAGAATATTTGTACCAGCAACATAACGTTAGAGCGTGAAACTAGTATGGAGCCCTGAGGCATATTGTAATGGTTCTTCATAAACATGTAATTAATACTGACAAGTGATACTGTCAGAACCAGTGTGTAACAAGTATTGAAAGAATTGAGCAGACTTGGACTTGGATCAAACATTTATCTAGCTGGCAAAGCGGTGCCCTAGGCCTCAGCAGGTCAGGTGCTAGTTAATTCAAATCTGAAGGAACAGATGTTGGACTTCAGGACAAATTGCCAGAATAAAGTAAGTGCATAAAACTTGTTCTGTGATGAGACCTGAGACTTTGGTGTAAAGCAGCAGATTTCATACACTTCCTCAGGGGAAAGAAAGAAATCTTAAAAATATATATATATCCTGCAATAAAAGGAAAAAAAAAAAAAAAAAAATCATTTTTAATGGGGATATTTAGGAAATAGGACATTAACTGGCAAAGAGAAGATTTCCATTTGATGATATTTCTCATTTTTGTTGTATTAAACCTTTGGTGTTCCAAAGGTCTCATCAGTTTCTGAGAAGTAGCCATTTTTGAAAATAAGGCTCAGATTTTGGTGGACATAATGAACTCTTATTTTGGTTATAACACAAGATTGAGTGTCAATTACATAAATTAAAAGGGAAATATTTACATACTGCGTGAAGTAGGGGCAATCTGTCTGCACTGTTTCAGTGTCACACTTTTCAAACAGAGGCAAGTCCACAAAATGTTGATGGGTTAGACATGTAAGAGATGTTTTGAAACAGCAAAACAATCATAAATTCTGTGTAATTTTAATTTGTCAAATACCCCTTTTTGGAGTATGCTTAAAATGAACAGTATGCAGAGATGTCCATGTTGTTGGTAAGTGAGCAAGCCTGGGTGCTGGAAACAGCTGAAAGCAAATGCATCCAGGAGGAAATACTGCTTTAGGCCAGTTCCTAAATGATTTATTTTTGGTAGTTCTACATACTGTGGGCTGCATGAGCTATAATCCCAACAAAACCAGTAAAGTTTGGCTCTCTGAGAAATCAGAAACAAATGTTATTTTAGTTTCTAGCAGTGAGTTAACTGAATTCTTGCTATCACCAAAGTTTACTCTTCCTGGAGTGAAAATGACTTTGTAAATAAATGAGGCCATCATGTGCAGGAGTTTCAGAATCCCTCCTTTCTTTGCAAGAGACTTCATCTTCTCTCTCTCTTTTTTTTTTTAAACCATGACTCTCCTTGTGGCCTAAGTGGCTAGATTGCACACAATCAGATGACAGTGTACTCACTGGTTAAATTATTAAAAAATTACATTGTAGAAATATCTGAGGACAGGAAAAACATATAGCTGAGGTATATAAGCAAAGTTAATATATGAGAAATATAGAAAGTTTTCCACAGATGATCCATGTAATATTTCAGTGATTCAAAACTTAATTACGTAGGGATTTGTTTTTGATATGTCAGTAAAAAAGACAGTATTTAGATCCACGTGTCTAATAAAGATAGAAAGATAGGTCTGGCTTTGATACTGCCTGTAGATTTCTGGAATTTGATCTTGCCAGGGAGGTGAGGCAGTTCCCAAGTGAAAGAATATTGTTTGCTGTATTCTTCTTGGGGTCTGATGAACAGAGAAACTGTTCTGAGAGAAAGAGGTATCCTATTTAAACACGTCTTTAATAAGAGAAGAACTTACTGCTTTCTTATAGAAATATTGCCATGTTACAAAGTTTGCATCAAGACAAATGTCTCTTTCGTAAATAAGTAGGTAAATAAGCAAGGCTGAAAACCAAATATGCGAATACAAAAGCAGTAAAAAAGTGCTATCAAAAATCTGCTTCAGATCAGTGTTTAGGTTTCACTTTTACATATTTTGAAAAATTGTAAATTGGATAATTATATGTTAAGATGAAATTACCCAAGGAGACAAGTAGTATAAAAGAATAGGATATTTGGCATAAGAAGATGCATTTCGTACATTCCCTTTACCCTTTGTTACCAAGCTGTCTACGCTAATTACATTCAATGGTTCTTTCTGAAGGGTTGTTTTTATAGAGTTTAATTTTTTATTTAATTTAAAAGCTCACATTTTGATGATAATTTGATCTATGGAGATAATTTTCAGAAGAATATTTTAACAGTTTTCTTCTTTTAAAAAACTTTCAGAATTAGAAGATGGCCAGAAGCAGGCAATGGTTAGTGAAAGAACAGAAGCTTTCACCACCTCACGAAACCTACTGATCTCTGGTGCAGATGCTATTGAAAGGATTATGTCTTCATACAAAGAGGTATCGTACGTCAGTCATGTGCAAAACGTAAAGGAAGTAAAAGTAAAATGGGTTTACATCTAATGTAAAAATAAAAAAATATTATCTTTTAAGGTAAATACTGTCTCAACTAAATCTATGGTAAACTTTGAACTGATAGTTTGATCTTTAGAGTTAGGTCCACAATGAGTCTGAAGTGCACAGCTGTCGATATGATGCAACACAGATATTATCTTTAACACCTGTGTTCAGGTGCCATCAGAGAGCAATAGAAATTCCCAGAATCTGGCTGATAGAGGTTCAGAGCCTTCTTCTGCTTGGAGCACAAACCTGAGTTCAGGTTGTCCTCTTCTGAGTGGACCAGAGAATTGGGACTCTCACGTTGAAAAGTATATGAAATGCAGAAAGAACTGAACACTTATTTCCTGTCCACTTAAACTGTTCTGAACCTGTTATTTTTGTAAGTAATTTTGTACAGCAGAGAAATTTTATCAGGAAAAATCTGCTGTATGACTGCAAATAGCCCAGAAATGCAGGATGTTGTCTGGAGGATCAGATATGGGTGTCATCACCCTGGTTGCAGTCTGTCTGTGATCTCTCCAGGCGATTTCTCTAGGCACAGACTATTAAGCAAGTGAAAATCCAGGCAAAGCTGTTACTCTTCTCAGTGTTTCCTTCTGAATGTGGTTCTGTGTTTGTTGAGTTAGTTTTTGTTCGTCCTTTTCGTGGGGATGCCTTTTCCCAGTGCAATGGGAGGAGGCACGCACCGCAATCAAAGATTATGAATTCCTTTACTTGGAATCCAGCATTAATAGCTACAGCTTTTTAAATTGGAAGAGGAGGGGTAGTTTGGCACCTTCAAACAGTCTCTGATAAGGCCAGAGTCTGTGTTGTTTTTCCGCAGAGTTCTAATGGACTGTGATTTTGACTTATGCAGCTTTGGCTGTTTCCCTGCCTGACCTCTGCTCTAGAGGGACTGCCAGATAAGCTATTATGCACGGATGTTATTCTACTTTGTTTTCAATATCTAAGTCATTTATATGATCTGTGTGGGGACTTACAAACATTGTGCAATTATATTTTGGAAAAACAAATTCCTTGCAACACAGTAGTAACAGCTGAACAAATTCATGAGGTTTATCATATAGTGAAATTATAATGCAGCCAGCATGAGATCAAAAATCAGCTCTTTGAGCTTCTATCTTAAATTTACACTTTACTTTTCTTAAATACTGCAGTACTTCAACCAGTTTATCATTCCTGCTTTGTGGTTCAGGCAGTTTCCAATATGACAGCATGCTTCAATCCATTTCAAGTGACAGTGAGACTCCAGTTCTTGCCTACCCAATCCACCCAAGTGCCCATTTTCTAGTCAGCATTGTTTAGCTTGCAGATAAATTGGCTCATCTTTTGTTTGTGGGTCAATATTTAGGTGGTAGCACTTAGTGTTATGATGAGGCAAGTTTGTAGAATCATCGTTTGGAAACTTCCTACACATTTTTTTTTTGTTGTGGGGTGCAGTTGTTACGTTTTTCATTCACTGTGTGCAGGATTTTCTCCATCAAGCATCACTGCTTGTTGGTGGAATTGAAATATTGGCTGGTTATTCTCTTCAAGCTGAGTTTTTTGAGGTGTTGTGTAATTGTTAATCTCCAGTGGAGCACTGACCCTGTCTAGTACTCAGATCTGTGTCTAGTGCAGTGAAATTTTCACAGGATTGTTTCTCCATATATTGAATCTTTTTATGCCCGTTGCAGGTGGGATGAATTATAGCTTGTATGTATTTAACTACAGCAAGCTAAACATTTTATAATCTCATGCTGATTTTCTCACTATTCTTATCTTGCTCTCCGTGTTTACTATAAAAATCTTTCATTTTAAAAACATCTCATAATTCATACATAATAAGATGCCCAGGTTTAATTCTTTGCTGCCAGCAGATGGAGGTAGTTCTTTAGGAGTTTTGGCAATGTCAGTGCCTGTGAATAAGAAATCTCCTGGAGGAGAGATCTGTTCTTCCTGTTTTCACCAGGTGGTAACTGAGATAAAGGGATAAAAAAATCATAAAGCCCTACAAGAGACTTCACTATTTTAAAAATTCCCATCTGCAATTCAGGATCTCAGATTTGGCTCTGGTACCCGGCATGCAGATTATAGGACAATCATTTCTTTTCTGCGCAGTATTTTTCATTAGCAAATACCCTTGTGCTGCCTGTTTTACACAGGAGAAACACATCTTTCTCGCTGGAGATTTGAAGCACACAAGGAAGTAACCATATAATTACAGGTGCCTATTTTTCTAACTGCTGTCAGTCTGTATTTTCCTGGAAAATGGCAGAAATTTTGTTTTTTTCTTGTGTGATAGGCTAATTTGAACTAAGCCAGGAATTCTGCCTAGGTTAAAGATTGTACTGATCGATGAAAAAGAGCAGTCCCTGCAACCTCCTTATTTACTGGAGCAGTAGTAAATTACATTGGCTGGCATCTGTCCTCCTCAGACTGTGTCTGCTGGCTGTTACAAGCTGTGGGTGGCATTTTGGTTAGGACAGAATCTCAAAGGAGGAAGAACTGATAGGTGACAAAAGATGCATCACTGATCTTTCCAGAGTAATAACTGAGAATAGCTGGGAATGTTTTTCGTGAATCTTTGGCCAAGCATTTCATTTACAGAATCTGTGAAGTATAACTGCAATGAGGCATTTGCTGTTTCACAGGTTACTGAGTTAGCAGGATACACAGCCCGTGTCTACAACATGTTTTCTGTCTTTGATGAGGTGAAGAGAGGCATCTACAAGAGAACTGCTGTTATTCAAGGCGCTGAAAACAACAGTAAGAATGAAGATAAAATAGAATCACATGTCAATGGACCCTTAGAAATCAAGGGTAATTAAGTCACATTTTTTTATATCTTTCTCCTGGGGGAATGCCTGGTTGGGGCAGAGGGCAGTAGATGAACAGGATTTGTTTCTATAACAAATCATTCTCTCAGTTTTAGTGCCCTAGAGACCGTGTTGCCTTCTGTTTTATCTTTCTGCTGTTTTGTAACTCGGTGCTTGTGCAGTGCTTTTCTAGAACGTTTCCACAGAGATTGCTCAAATGTTTTCTGTGAAAACTTACAGTGAAAAAGGTATTTCAGCTGTACTATTTTAAGTGGTGGTTGTGGTGATGGTATTATTATCACTGCATAGACAGTGCCTGCTTTCCTCTAACTTCTTTTTTTTCAGAAAAAGGAGACTGTAGCATTTTCATTTTCAAACGTAATTATTTTGTTTAGGGTAGGAGGGAAAGAGAAATTGGTTTAGTAGTTTTTGACAAAAATAATAATTTGTTTTCAGTTACTCTCAGCCTTTGCTCACCTTTTCATCTTGTAGTGAGGATATTCTACCAGAAATGTGCTGATGGCTCTCTCTGCACCCCTCTCCCAAATAACCTGATGAATATGCAGCTTCTTCCTCCCATCCCTAGCTTGTATCATTCTGGAGCCTCTGTCTTTCTGTCTGCACCCTTCACAAAGCATTTCCTGTGTTCATCTATTTCTTATTGTGCTCCATTATACACCATCTCCCTTTTTTATCTTCTTTGGTGTTGGAAAACCTCATTCTCACCCTCCAGTTTCTGAAAACTTAAATCTCACTAGAGTGGAAAGCACCAGAGCGCTCTTTACGAAATACTTTTTCAGAGACTTTCAATGGCGTTACCCTTCTGCACAAATTTCTCAATGGTCTCCTGAGAAGGCCCTTCGAAATGGTGTGATGCAGTGCAGTGGATACCTGTGGAAACAGCTGGTGCCTTAATCTTGTAGGTCTTGGCAGTATCTGGCTGGCATTTGATGCTGTACAGCTGTTAACATTTTGTCATGTACGAGAGAAAAATTCATTTCATTATTTGAAACAGCAAAGTAATTTTGGGGCCATTTAGATAACTCTGTATTTTAAAAATTAAAGGTAATACATTCAGATGTGAAAGAATACCTGTTTGTGTTTCCTTTTGAGCTTTGATTCCACCTGTGTGGCACATCTCACCTAGTCTGAATTCCCCCCATGTTGCAGTGGCTAACATTGGTATGCAGTGGTTGCAGGCTCTCAGAGGCAGCTGGCCAGTACGGAACTCTAGGCACAAGGACTTAAGCAGAATTGAGGCCAGATGAATCTAGGCCACAGGTCCTGGACTTTTTTTGACAAGAGCCATTGTACCATTCTATGCTGGCTTTCCTCCTTTCTTTCAGTCTTGGTACTTTAGAAATCCCCACAGAGTGGATTTTTATGTGGATAAAAGTACACGTGATCACATGCATGTGCATTTCCACTGTTAGAAAACTGTCAATATTCACAGCTCTTCCACACTCCTTTTAAATTGTCCAGTACAAACTTATGTACCTGAAGAATGACTGTGCTTTGCCTTGCATTCACCGTTGTCAATAAGAACATTGTGAAAATATGGGAAGTATTAGAATATTTTTAACAGATGATTATATTGCTATGTATGGAAGGTATCTAATATTCAGAATTTTAAAGTCGAATATGTTTGTATACATTTGTACAGAAGTTCTGTAAAATTGTATTTCTCATTACAAGGTTTAAAAGCGCACTGTGGTTGTCAATCATTCTGACTTTTGGGAATGGGAATTAAGTTTACTTACTACTTAGCTTACTATTATGTGTCATACATCCTTTTTTAAACTACAGTTTTTCTCCTGTAATTGCATTCTTCAGAAACATGAGTGAATTTTGCAAATTTGCTTGAGATCTTCTCCACAGTTAGGTGCCAACTCAAGTGCAAATATTCCTGTAGTTGGAGTGAAAAAAGGTACAGCCCTTTTCTGAGAAATGTCTTGGCCAAATCTGTCTGCCTGTTCATGAACCTGTGAGAACTGCATGGCTGATGGGGGGTGGTTGATCTCCCAGCTGTATATCAAGTGCCATTGAGGAGTCTGAAGGTAGTGGAGCCTGTCAGTGGTATGAGAAGGTTGCAATCATGGCTTTTTTTCAATAGCAAAACAGTTTTGTTTTCCATAGTTTCATGTTGGTGCTACTGAACTGTTTCAAATGAAACTTATGTTAGGGAAAAATAGCACTTAGATTGATAAATGAATGAGAATTTTTTTTTCAGCTTGCTTTAATTTGACAAAGTTGGAAGCAGCTGAACAAATAGCCTTCTAATAGAGGACGTGAGACTTTAACCTTAGCTGAAGGAAATACTACCAGATCCTGTTGTAATGAGCTTAACTTTTCTGTAGCTTCATTTTCCTTTGTTCAGGTTAATCTAAGTTTTAGAAGATGCAGTCTTCTGATACAAAGGGAAATCCTGTTTGTTTGCTTCTTGTATGTAATAGTAATTTCTGGTACTTGTCTATGAGCCTGGTTTTTTTAGGTTCTGTTAGAAGGGTGTATATATATATATATACAATGAAGAGATGTATATTGTGTATTTATGATAAACTATAGGATTCATTACACACTCTTGGCTAATACTGACAGTGTAATTCTGACCTGCTAAGATTTACTATCCAAATTTTTCACTTGAGGAACCTGGGGAGCATAAAACAGTTTCTGAACGCGCTAACTTATGCTTCCCAGCTGTGCACGAAGGCTGTTGGGTATCATTGCTTCATGGGAAGTTTCAAAAAACATTAAGTGTTGCTTTTTTTTTTCTTTTTAGGAAAAGTTATTGATGTTGAAAATGGAATAATTTGTGACAATGTTCCTATTATTACCCCGAATGGCGATGTGGTGGTTTCCAGACTAAACTTCAAAGTAAGATGATATGCAAGAATTGTTGCCATCACATTAACATAAACAGCACAGAATTCATGTACCTTATGTTAAGTACTTGGCGGAGCATATGGATAAAAGGGGAAGTCCAGAAAGGTAGGCATAGTAGCTTTGTAGAGGCAGACTTGTGTAGTGCTCAAAGAAAAAGAAGAGAGGATTTATAGTGCTGCTGACACATGAAAAATTAGACCTAGGATTTTAAAAGGTGTATGTGAGAGTCCACATCCGTGTTAGGTAACATCAGTAAAATTGGGATGCTTGGCTCACATGGGCTCCTTTAAAAGTCTGAGTTCACAGCAACTGTGAAAAAGCTGAGCCTGTTGTTAATTTTACCTGACAACCACGAAGAACAGTACTAATAGTTGACAGCATGCTTCGCAGTCCTTTACACTGCAACAGTGGAGTCTTTACTCAAAAAAAAAAAAAAAAAAGTTTTAAAAAGACTGTTGTAGCTACACTTGGTACTGTTCTCTGTCCTTTACTGCATTTCTGCCATATGTATCCTGATCTTATGTTCCGATGCAGATGGTATTGTTTTTAAAAATGGTTGAAATGACTGGAACAGTAATATGAATAATTGCAGCAGGCTCTTTAATTCAGCTAAAGCAGAGTTTTTTCTCTCTTCACATCTGTATGGAACTGGAGTAGTTGAATTAGCAGTGCAGGGTCCTAGTTACAGCAAAGCTTCCAATGGCTCCAGTGTAGGAATTGCAGATTTGTGAAATTACAGCTTTACAACCAAAGGGACAGTTATATTTATTTCTTTGGCTCAACGAAGACATTATGTAATGCAATTATAATATAACAATCAATGTGTTTATATAAAATATTGACATTGTGATTGTGCATGAATATACACTCATATATACACAGAGTCCTGTTTAAATGAATGAAACCAAATGTATTGCACCCAAAATAACACTGGTAATTATATTTTCCAAATCATTTGATCAAGCTCACTTTGCTTAAATTAGTATTACTGATGGCTTGGCACTGCTCTTTGTGCTGTTAACAATTTTGGACTGAATTTACGTTAGAATAATTGATTCTGACTGTGATGGATTGATGGAATGATATAATTAGCATAACTTATAGAAATACTCAGACTTTATAGAAATGATTTTTATTCTTATATTTAATTCTACAGTTTTCAGAATGATTGCACTAAAAAAATATGCAGGTAATTCATGAAAAGGCTTAATAATTTGATATAAATGCTTGCATAACTCCTTCTGGGGGCCTTAGAGCACTGCACAGTAACATCTTTTCATTTTCATTATCACTATAGGTTGAAGAGGGCATGAATCTTTTAATCACTGGTCCCAATGGGTGTGGAAAGAGTTCACTTTTCAGAATTTTAAGCGGTTTGTGGCCTGTGTATGAAGGAATCCTCTACAAACCCCCTCCACAGCACATGTTTTATATACCACAAAGGTATGTGATACCTATTTATCTGGTTACATGAATTTTGACCCTGCTGCTCTTATTTTTGATCTTACATTTCTTACAGCCTAGTTACAAGGGGCTAAGCACCACCTCAGCTGCACTGGGAGTGCTAAAAAATATTGATTCCTTGTTGTTGCTGATGCAAATCTTCAGTTGCTGGAAATGGGTAGCTGATGTACATCTTGTGGTGGCTGCACTCCCCCAATGGCTAATGAGTTCTGGTTGATTGGGATCACGGCAACAGACTAGAATGTGAAACAGTTTGAAATAGACCTAGTATATTCCCATTTCACTTTAAAACTCTAAATCAAAACCAGTGAGGATATATGGTTTTCCAAATTTTGAATTGTTCAAAATAATTGTAACAACTTCAGCTCTTATACTTCAAAACAAGAATCTAATCAAATAATAACTGCAAACTGCTTTTTTTTTTTTTTTTTTTTTTTTTAAATAATGGATGCTTGTTTCACTGAAGGAAACATGGCTGTTTTATTCTTCATTTGTGTTCTGACTTGTTGTTGGACTCTAACATAATTTATGCAATTGATCCTAAAATGTCTCCTTGGAGACTTCTAAATAGGTTGTTTTGTGGAAGCAAAATCAAACACTGAGAATGTTTGATTGCTTTCTGTAGTTCATTTCTTCCCATGGGCAAAACAAATATTCATGATACAGTCTGTAGTCTTGTTTAAAAATACAAGCTATTAAGCTGAATGGAAAATAGTAACTGATGAACAGATTTTCCTTGCTGCAAATGAAGGTAACATAGAAAATTTATCTATAATGTTTTCAAATTTATGTAAAATTTATTGCCAGCCACTGTCATAAATGTTCTACATGGAGACAATTTTGAAGTTGAAATAGTGACATGTAATGTTCTAGATTCTCCTAGAAATAATTGCATTATTTGAATGCTATTATGTAGACAAGAAAATTGATTTGGAAGTTGGGCAACAAAAGCAAATTACATACGTGTGTTTACATACCTACACACAGTCTTCCTAGCAGAAAATCAGGAGGACTTGATTGTGCAAGATGTGAAGTTGGAAGGTGAAGTATATGAGGTTTCTACTTCAGCACCATTATTTTATGTCTTTTCTTTTAACAAAACCTCATACTAGCTTTAAAGTCATAGATTTCTGTGTTAGTGTCTTCATGAAATACTGACTTTCATGAACACTTCTGCAAGAACCACATTCTGGTTGTATAAGAAATTAGGGGTTCTGCAGTTGAATTCTTGTTTTTTGTCTCATGTTTATGCCTGCACAAATATCTCTTCTCTGAGATATACTGGCATACATCAATCATGGTTAGGAAGAAGTAAAACGTGTGGAAAGTTACTTCATGGCCTCTTTCGTTGTATGTATTTGTCTGAGAAGGTTACTGCCATGTTTTAAGTTGATGATTACTGAGTACCTGCAGTTCTTAGTTCGTAATTATAAGGGATATATATATGTCTCTCTCTCTCTATATATATATGTATATATAGATAGATGTAGATATGTCTATATATGTCCTTTATATCCCTTTCATATGCAATTTTACAAACTTTTATGGAAGATGGTGTATAAAAATCTAACAGGTTAATTAAGTACAGTAAGTGATTACAGAAACATGTATAAGGTGATTACAAAAATGTGATTTCTTGTTTTTATTCTCTTCAGTGGAAGGCTGTAAGGCATTGGGGACATGATTTTTTTCTTTTGCTATGTTCAAAATCCCTGGTGAGAAGCAGTTCTGTGTAATAATTAGTGATAATTTTAAGAGTACGGAATGGTTGTGGAAAACAGTATTTTTATTTATTCTTCTGAAGAAAATATAAATATACAAACAAGTAAAACTAGTTTTGGAGACACTCTGCCTCGTTTCTTTAGTAAGTCTTTACTCAGTTTTTCTTTTTTGTTCTATTTCACTTCATCAAACTTTGAACTCCACACAGAGTGGTTCTTGTTTTTGTTTTTTTCACATTGGTTTTCCTATCCTCAAATCTCAAAGATTTTATCTTTGCAGTAGCTATAAAAGTTACAATCCTTGTTTTACTCTTTTCTGATGAATGCATGCAAAAATTTCAACGTTTTTGAAGTCTCTGCTAATGTTAGGTGGTTCAATTTGAAATAGACAAGGTTTTTATTTTTGAGAATATTCAACCCTTCTGTAGCACATTTTGTGTTAAGTTTTGGTAATTCCAACTGTATTTCCAGTATTCCTTGCAGTCTGATTGCAGATAGTGAACAATAGTGAACATTTTGGTTTAAGTGACCTTACCTGCTTCTACTCTATAGTCAGATCAGAAATAAAGAGATGACAAGGGCAATATTCACTAATGTTATCACTGTGTGACAGGCTGAATGCTGGGCCATCACTTTTCTCATCAGCTTGAGGCCTTCATTCAGGCAATTGAACAAAATGCTTGATGAAATGTTTTTCAAAACAGTACTTCTGAATTCCCACTGTGTGAAATGTTGCTAAGATCAGTTTCATTCTTAGATGACACAAAAGCTATTCTCTTTTTTTTGTTGCAGAAAATCTTGAGTTTCAGCCACTTCTGTTCTCGGTGTGGTACTAGTCCCTTCTCAGAGCAATATCTGAGGCTGACTTGCCTGCAGCCCTTCCCACTGATGTCCCCTTTAGTCTTGAAGAATCAAGGTTCTCATTGTGTTCGGGCAGATTTTGTAAGGGGCTGTTCGGGGGAACTCAATCCTATCTGGGTTTTGATTTCTGTAAGCATTATTTGTTTTTAGCTGCTTTCCCCTAATTTTGCAGTGCTGGAATAGTTTCCTCCAGCACACTTCTTCATTTCAGATATCTCAGCCAGCAACTAGGATTCAGCTTGCGTCTCTGCCATCCTCTTTGACCCCAGAAGTTGGCATACGCCATCTTAGCAGAGGGCCCTGAAGGTATCACTGCTATGCAGTCCATCCTGATAGCATCCCCCAGGAGAAAGGGTGCAGTGTGGAGGTCAGAGAATCATAGGGGTTGGAAGGACCTCTAGAGATCATGGAGCCCAATGCCCTGCTAAAGCATGCTTCCTGCAGTAGGTCGCACAGGTAGGCGTCCAGGTGGGTCTTGAATATCTCCGTAGAAGGAGACTCCACGTCCTCTCTGCCATCCTGTTCCACTGAGGCCATCGTGCTGTTCCTGGATTGTCTCCAGGAGATCTGAGGGACGTTGCCACGCCTTGACTCCACATGAACTCTGCATCCTTTGTCCCACATACGGGGTTCTTTCACCCAGTGTGCAGTTTGCCAATTCCACATACAGAGCCAAGATTTTCTTATTTCAGTTTTGCGCAAGGTTGGGGCCAGGTGGTGATACCATAAAGATAGCACGCCTTCCCAGATCACAACATGATATCGATGTAATTCTGTGCGTGCATTTGTTGTTTACAAGCAAAATCAATAGATAGATCTTACTCCATAGTTTTCTATTAACTATGTATCCCAGTTAGCATGCATGCTGCCTGCTGGTGTCTAGCAGGGCTTTTTGCATCAAAGTGAGATGGTGGTTGCAATCTCATCCTGCCACCTTTACCTTTCTCCAGGTTGCTAGATTTTGCAGACGTGGCTGATTTTTTTTTATGACCTATGCCATTCAGGTGTTCCTGTTTTTCAGTTCCATTAGTTTCTTGCAGAGAACAATCTTTTTTTCTTTTTTTTCTTTCTTTCTTTTTTTTTTTTTTTTAATGCTTTTGGTTAGTTTGTTGCTAGTCTACTATTTTATTTTACTGAACAGCAGTTTTGTATTATCTTTTCTGGTTCTGTTATCCTGCTAGACTACAGCCATAGAAGACCTTTTAGACACCATTAAGGTATTCCATTTCCAAGGGTAACAGTGAGTGACAGAGGGTAACATTTCCCAGTGAGTGACAGAGAGCAGTCTTTTGGCAAGAATACTCCCTGTTGTGGCTGAATATTCTCAGCTGTCTTGGTGCAGGTTTGGTAGGCTCAGAAATATGCCCCATGACTTTTAAGGCCTTTGTATTTGGATCATACAGTCATTAAGGTTGGAAAAGACAACTAAGATAATCTAGTCCAACCATTGACCACCATGCTCACTAAACCATGTCACTGAGTGCCACATTTCCACATTTCTTGAACATCCCCAGGAATGGTGACCCCACCATCTCCCTGGGCAGCCTGTGCCAATGCCTCACCACTCTTTCCAAGAAGAAATTTTGCACCCCCTAGTGCAAATCTTTTAGGTATTTGTGGGTCAGTGTGACTGTATTGGGATGCCTTTAAGAATTCTGAGCTCCTTTGTTTTCCTCATGCATTTGCTGTCTGGGCTTAGAGAGTCTGTAAACATCTGAAGTGAGTTTGTCAACCGCCTATGTAAGAAGGGCATGGCCTGGTTCCATTCTCTTCCCAAACAGGTGGAGTTTGTTGAAATATCTGGGAATTGTGCATCTAGATTGTGCTCCAGATCAGAGGGAGGGAAGGGGTACCATTCTAAGAGTTGGTGCAGAAGTCTCACATTGCTTCTGCAAACCACTGCACTAGCAAAAATACTAAGAATGACTTGAAGGAGATTCAGTTTCAGATTGAAATTTACACATTCCTGGATCAGATGTGGATTGCCTTATGTGGTCCTTGTATTTTTTGCTTCCTTTATTCCACCTCGAAGTGATCTTTAAAACCTCATTTATTTATGGCCAAAATATATTACACACTTAGTTGTTTGTTTGTTTTTTCCATCCCTTCTTGGCTCTAAAATACATTTAGAATTTCGGTAGTGGTTTGCAGATCGTTCCAAAGTCCTGAGTTTAGAGCTGCTTATCTTGGAAGTTCACACTGGTGCAACCATTTAATTAACTCTGTACAAATTGCTGCTTGGTCAGAATTGCTTTCTGTTTGTTATTAGAAATAATTCTAACACATCAGACTGGAAAAAATTGTGCCATGCCTCCATTTCATCACCTACATATTGCAGTATAACTTTAGGGAAAATTTAGATTCCGCGTGAAGAGAACTTGGGATTGGTAAGACGGT